TTGTCATCTGTTTATTTGGGCATATGCTCCAGCTGGCCCTTGATGTTGAACAAAATAAGCGGTACTGTATTAAAAAAAAAATTCCTCAACAAAATGGTACCGAATAATGCTGCGCTACTTGACTGTAATTTTAGTACCGCAAACTAAATTGCATCTTGTTCTGAACCACACACCAAAACTTCGAAAAGGACATTTTCATGACTATTTGACTATTCAAACTTAGGCAAAGATTATTGTGTGTATTGGAGTGACTTAATTAACTTTGGCTCCCGTGGATGCGTCGCACTGACAGATCATGCAACAAAAGTGAAAAAAACATGCCGACAAAATCGCCATTCGACCGAGCAATTATTCTTTGGGATCGGCATTTTTCAAACAAACTTAGTCAGCGGATACAACTAAAGACGTTACTGTATGAGGTAAGAATCAACAGCTTTTTATCACATTTACACAATACTTTGTGAATACAAGTCATGAACAAATCTTAAATATGGCAGGGAATGTGTTTACTTTTTTTAGTTTTGATTTTGAGCAGCAAATCTGGAGTTACATATGCTCACCAGGAATGCATAAGCAAAATTGCACAACTTTTCACTTGAAAGAATAGTGGCGATCTTGGGATTTTTTTCTGTTCAATTTTCAAATAGTGTGTAAATTCAATACACTTTATCTTCAGCATGTTTAGTGCCACTTTTATAAGTAACCACGCCCCCGGCCAGGCCACGCCCCTTCCGCTTTTTTCATCACTCGCCATTGCCATCTATGTAGAAAAGATAAGACACCACCGAGTATCAGCCTCAGCCTCAAAGAAGTGAATATTACTTATAATATACTGTGCAATCACATATGAAGAGTTTTTACTCAGTTCAAGTTTAAAAATTAAAGTATATTTGCTTTCGCTGCTTGTTACTTCTCCTTGAAGAAAGTGTTGTTTTTGGTTTATACATTTTTGCACTTTATTTTATTGTATTTCAATCCAATTATGTTTTCAAAATATTGTATTCGAGTAAATGATCGAAAATTACTGTCCGATTATTTGTTTTTCTCTTAAGTAATTTTAGCCTACTTTTGCTAAAAGAGAAAATATGGACTATTGATAGTGCCTTGAATAATACCGGCTTCTTTCATTCATGTTATGGGTATTTTTATACAAAGGTAATTTTTTTGTGCCTGTTGAAAATTAAAGTTTACTGACATAGCCATAAGAAAATGTTGCTTTATTTATCTGACCATATTGGAATGTATTTGTTAGGTTTTCAGTCAATTAAATTTGGTTCAATAAACTATATGTGGTCATTTTTAAAATTTTCAATGAACATTCAATCAGTCCGGCCCTCGGCTTGCAGCAAAATTTTTTATCTGGCCCTCCGTCCATTTGACTTTGACACCCCTGTTGTAGACAGATGAAACAGAGATCCGGCAATTTTTCAAAATAAAACATCTTTCGATTCCGAAATGAATAAAACGGAAGTAATGTAAGTTATGTCTTCTTTCTGTGCGACCCGGTACCAAATGACCTACGGACCGGTACCGGTCCGTGGCCTGGGGGTTGGGGACTTCTGGTTAATGGTACACTCTTAATTGTCCCTTAGTGTGATTCTCAGTGCGAATGGTTGTTTGTCTTTGTGTGCCCTGCGATTGGCTGGCATCCAGTTGAGGGTGTACACTGCCGACTGTCTGAAGACAGCTGGGATAGGCTCCTCCACACCCGGGTCCCGGGAACCTCGTAAGGATATGCGGATTAGAAAATGGATGGATGACAGTGAAATATGGACATTTTAGACTATTTTTATTTTTGAAATGCAACACTAAGATTTTATCAGACCTCTTTTGGTGGAGTCTTGGCGTGGACTTGTGTCGTCCAAAACTATGGACTGGTCTTGCGGTACCCCAACAATTACTTCTAAACTTTTTTGTAATTCATACTCGGATTCAATTTTATCGATATTATAATTCAGTATGCATTGATATTCATGTATTATTTCTTAGCTTTTATTTTGACGGTTGTCCTGGCAGCCCGTTGAGCGAGTATTACCGTAATGTCCAGTATAAATGAAAATACATCGTCTTTTTGAGTGTGAGTTGGTTTGTTGGCATGAACAAATCGGTGTTCATGTTCGATGACTGCAACTTTGGTACGCGTGTGTAGCATTTACTGTAAAGTAATTAAATAATTAAAACTTAAATCATCAGCAACTATGGTTGATAATTGATCCATGGACTCTGCTCTTCTATTTCACCAGTAAGGGACAGATACACGGAAGTGAAAGTAAAACTGGATTCGGGACGACAGTTTCAACGAAATCTCCGTGTCCAAGCTATGGCCTCTTTGCGTTTTAACGCACTTTTACTGGATATATCCAGCCAGCTTACCACGGAGCAGCTGGACCGGCTCAAGTATCTGTGCGGCGACAAAGTTGGAAAAAGGGAGTTGGAAACGATCGACAACGGAATCAAACTGTTCCAGTGTCTGACCGAGAGAGGAGTGCTAAATCAAGATAAAACAGAGTTGTTGTCGGAGCTTCTCACACTAATAAACCGACAAGATCTGGAGGAAAAGTTGAGCAGCTTTCAGTCACCACCGGAATGTGCTGGCACTCAACTTTGCGAAACGGAGAGAGGTATACTGTAGTTTCATTTTACAGATAAGTAGTTTTACATTTGACTGATAAGTAGACTGTGCCGCACCTTTCCCCAAGTCAAATTTGACGCCGCGGAAACAGGTTACCTTTTAGTTCCTCCATTATTTATGGAAGTACAGAAATTGTCATTATTTTACTGCTCTTCAAATAGCTTTAAACTACTATTTCTGAAATGATTTATTAATGTGGGCGCATTGGTGTTAATCTTTTTGATCATTTGACTTGAATATGGTTCACTTATTCTTGACACTCGAACAGCAGTAACATCGAATTCACTTTGAAAATTGATCCAGCTGGTTTATCAAGCTGCATTGGTTAACTGAAAACCATAACTGGATACTGCACTCCACTTCATTTTTCTTAATTTACATTGTTATTATTATTATTGATTGGTAAACTGGGTTATGATGCCCCCGCATGTCTAACCAAACACAGGTGGAGGGTAAATAAATAACAAAAGACTACTACTTTGATTTCATAAAACAAAACATCAAGTCCTGTAAAGGGGCATCTTACCTCAGGCCTGAGGAAGATGCATCTCTGATATACTGTGATGTCATAATTTGTGTGGTGATCAATGACGTCACTGAACAGATCCGTGAAATAAGACATTTCACCAAACACAACCTTGTCCATTCCAGTGTCGTTCTATGCTGCCATAGTGCATGCGTGAGCCCGAAAGCTCATATCTTTTATTTTGCCTTTTTTTTTGCCGAAAGCCTTTGTCCAGGGAGGCGGACATCAAAAAGAACTAGTAGGTGTGTGTGTGTGTGTGTGTGTGTGTGTGTGTGTGTGTGTGTGTGTGTGTATGCCAAAAGCCTTTGTCCGGGAGGCGGACATCAAAAAGAACGTGTGTGTGTGTGTGTGTGTGTGTGTGTGTGTGTGTGTGTGTGTGTGTGTATTTTAAGTTTCTATGTAACTTGCTATCACATTTCACACAAAAATAATATATTTCCCCTCTGATTTTTTTCTTACTTTGTTTTTCAGCCAAGCTGGAAATTGCCACCAAAGTGATCGCCGAGAACGTGGGGGGGACCTGGCGAAAATTAGGACGCGAACTTGGTTTGAGTGAAACAAAGCTGAAATCTATCTCGATGAGGTTTCCAACAGACCTGGAAGAGACAGTCAGAGAGCTACTGAAGGAATGGAGGAAGAGTCGAGGAGCCGAAGCTCGGACGGGAGAGTTGATTGAGGCACTCAGAGCATGTCAGCAAAATCTCACAGCTGATATAGTGGAGGCTGCATGCATTTGATGTCAACAGAGACATGCTTGCAAGATGGTAACATTACAATTCAAGCCGTAGTCAACCATCAATGATGTCTTTATTTATAAAATGTTAGTTTAACAATAAGGTTTGCTTGTGTACATAATTCAACCATGAATTGTAAAAAAAAAAAAAAAAAAAAAAAAACACAAAA